TTTATTCAAGAACCCCCCCCCCCTTTCCATCCAACCAAAACCCCCCCCCCCCAAAAAGCAATAAAAAGCAAACCCAGCATCTCAAAGTCCGCACACAAACGTCAGGCAGAACTGCTCCTCGGCAGCTCTCTTGCGGAACAACGTCTGCAATCTGCTGTCGCTCCGTACATAGTTCGACCGGGCAGGGCAGCCTTGAAATGGAGATCGATGTAACTGCCTTTCGACCCCCATCTCCAACTACTCTTCGTCCCCCCTTTCCAGAACATGCTCACGGTGACGACTTGAATGTTGGCCGATTAACCCACACTCTTGCAGCAAAATCCTCGCTTGCAGATGCGCAGCCAACCCACATTTCAGCTTCCAGCCATATGGGCATTACGGATGGACCGTGACCAGATGAGCGCCAGGGGCACAAGGAGCCAACCCAAAAGGCCCCCTATCCAACGCAGAATACATAATACTTCGCAAAACACGAGCGAGATTATTTGGACGTTGCGCAGGCTCCTGAGTCCTGACGATGAACCAGCTCACGAGCTTGCGGACACTACGGAATAACAATACTGAATAAAGTAAAAAGGCTCTGAGGTGGCAGGTGAAAACCGGAACAGAAGGAGGTCTGGTGGGCCATAATAGATAGCTCTTGCTCTGACAACCGCTCCCATGGTGAGACCACGTGGGTCTCGTCCCAGACCCGTGGCCATTTCTGGGGCCGGAAGCGTGCCGCGGCCCCGCCCTCCCTAGTTCGATGCTGCTTAGTGCCTGGCACTACGGAGTACGCGTAGACTACGGCAAGGCTGGACCCGGAGCCATCATCAAGCCGTTCCTGTGATTTTACTCGCAACGCTACACAGTGTGCATTGATTGCATGTCACGCCCGTCTCAGGCACTTGATCGATCAGCATGGCTCACCACGGCCCAGGAATGCAGCTGTTGGGATGACAATCCTGCCGAGCCATTCACATCGCTGGCGGATAAAACAAAGCTTTCTGTCCATTGCTATCGCTGTTGCCCAGTTGCCTTGATTGGACTCCAACTCCACGAGCATGAAGCACGTGGTGCGGCCTCGGAAAGTCTGACTAAGTAGAGCTGCTCGGCGGCTGGCGAGAGAGGGAATTCCAAAAAATCTACTCCGTATGTTTTATGATATGTACCTCCTAATGCGTCAGCCACTGTCTAGTAACGCAAATGATCTTTTTCCGAGAGTGACCGCTCTTTGGGGAACGAATTCGCAAGACTCGATCCTGGTCTTTTCCCACGTCGACGAGCAACATCTTCTTTCTTTTTCTTCTTCATTTTTGCTTCCCAAAGCGTCACTGGCCGACACGACACCCCAACGGAGCCCCAAGAGGATGGCGGTGGCAGTAGGGGTGGAGAAGAAGAAAATCTGTCAAGGACCGTGGTTCCGCA